TATATATATATATATATATATGTATATATATAAAGTATAAACATAAGACATTAGATAAATACAATAAAACTAAAATAGTAAACCTCTGTACAGTATACAGCACAATATACAGTCAGTAGTATAGTCATCAACCACCAAGCGAAGTTGCGAATGTCTTCTCACAGAGATCACAGACAGAAGCCACTGCATGTCAGACTGTTGGTGTGGGGTGTTTAGAGAGTATTTACTAAGCATGTGTCGAAATCTCGAGAAAAGATACAGTTTTATCATCGTAATCACTAATTATTCTTAATATAGAACCCCCTCCCCACCCCAGCAATTAGTATGCCAATTCCTATTATCAATTCCAGTACAAATAATACAGATAATATACCATTAGGCATATTGCAGGAAATGGACACACACAGAGCTAGCAAGTGACTTCTTCTTATGTGTATAACATTGTTTATTTACTGGTCTTGGCTGCACATTAATACTAATAGTTCTAATAGTATAGTAGTAAATAGCCATACTATGAAATCAACAAAAATGACCTTTGTGTCAGTATGCAGGCAATATGAAGAAATAACAGCTAACTTACTAAGATATCCTCTTTTATGAAAACGAGAAAGACAATTTAAGTCATTGACGTTACACGGGGTCACTGAATTACATAGAACTTAGTTACAGCTCACAGTACAGAGCATTTCTGCAGATTTAAGCTTGAAAAATATGAAAATGTCTACGCATCTCTGTTGTACTCCAAAGGCAGTACAGTAATACCTCGTCATACGTCGATTCGTGTAACGTCACTTTACATCGGATTTTTTTTTGTTAAAAATATACAAAAAATACACATCGTCTTAAGTCGGTTCACGCAACCTTACGTCGATCAGGCGATGTTAAAAATATGTAAAAAAATAAATAAATAATAATAATAATAATAATAACAATAAATCACAATGTACAGAATCAAATAAAAGCTTACAAATTTAAAAAATACATTTATTTTATTTTTTTACCCGGTGTTTGGTACAATTTTTTAGGGGCTTTTGTCGTGCCTTTTCGAACCAATAACTGACGTAGAGTGAGGAATTTCTGTGCTCTGTTGTAAATTTCTAATGCCAACGTGTGTTATCAGTGTCAGACTGAGGAGGTTGCCGTCAGCTCCTGTTAGGGATGCTGGTCAGTGGAGCAGATTAATTGCTATTGCAGCATGCAAGAACAATGGCCCATAAGTCTGCCGAACACCCCGGGCTGTGGGATTGGTCCTGAACACCCGCTTCCACCCGCCCCCCTCCCGACGACTCCGTTAACGAAGCGCCGGTGTTCTGTCGAAAAATACTACCTATCGAGGCGTGCTATCGAGCCTTTCTGCGCATGTGCAATTCCACCGTCTTGGGATTAGGGTAAGGTTTTAGTGGTTAGGGTTAGGGTTAAGGTAAGGGTTTTAGGGGTTTTGGGGGGTTAGGGTTAGGGTTAGGGTAAGAGTTAGGGCTATCGATTAGCGCTACGGTGGCATTTTTCGACAAGGCAGCATATATCGACAGAACACCGGTCTTCTGTCAAGTTCAGCTACCTATCGAGACGTGTTATCGAGCCTTTCTACGCATGTGCAGTTCCACCGTTTTAGGCACCAATCCCCACTGCCGCATTTACGCACAGTCCTGACAATGAAATCATTACAAATGGTAACGTGAAAAGGACAAGCGTTTTCTGATTGCTACTGTATGAGAGTGACATATTTCTTTGTTGCAATGATCATGCTTAAGCGAGCACCATTTCCTCAGAAACAACCGTATCTCTATTTATGTCACGCATATTATTCTTGTTCACAGAATTTCTTAATGCTCACTAGGTAATTCATTTGTGTCTTGGAGTCAGTGAAGGTCACGACCACAGCACCGTAGCCAGAAATAAATTTTGTGGGATGTCCAGTAACCCTGATAGGTCCTCCTCTAATATTGATGATAAAATCTGCCTATTCGATAAGAATCATATCCCAGATCTAGACTGCCATTGGTCTGCTGCTGACATAGCATAAATAAGTCATTGGTCTGTAATTGATGTTTAAAGCAAACTTATGTCAGCATGACTGTGTTTTTAACCGGGATCTATAACAGACAGATTGCAGCAAAGGTGACGTTCTTGGGAACAGTGACCTTAACATGAAAATCTGTAATGCTACACAGACAACAGTCATGTAAACAGATCCTAAAATCTCAGATTCCTAGCTGTTAAAATCAGAACAATGTACATAACTGAAATCACTAGAGTATCCAGGGGGAAAAAAGTTTATAGCTTAACTAGTAAGATTTTTTTGAAAGATTTAAAAAATATTTACTAACTTGCAAATTAAATCTATCAATAATGCAGCACCGGCGGGCCGCATGCCCCGCGGTCAATTGTAAGTAGTCCTTGTTGTGTTGCTGTTAATGTTAATAGTTGCATTTCCCCGTTGTCGTGTGTGTTTGCCCATGTCTTGTGTGTACCCTGTCCAATCCTCGCGTATATTCAGTTCGTGTAAATCTCCCACCGTGTACGCATCTTATAGTTCAGCGTCTGACAACCTTGTGTTTCCTGCATATAATTGGTTTGGTATTTATTGGGTGTCTGATATAATCCTTTTCAGGGCTACTAACATAGAGCATGTCTCTCTGCTGCTGCGATACCTCGGTCTGCCCGATGCCACAATATATTACAATAATCTTAATACCCCCATAATAGCCCTACTTCAAATCAGACTGAAACCTCATTGAGAGGCCCTCATGATCCACTGCACTGAAGCCGGGTAAAACAATACCGCCTAAACATGAAGAGGGTGAAAACCAGCATAGCTCCACCAAAAAACAAGCTAATAAACCACAAGCACATCACTTTTGCTCAAATATGAAGTCCAACAGAGCGTTATCCAGACCAGCGAAAAAGGTAAACGGACTTTAACCACGGTGAGGTCCCCACTAAGAACGTTCTGCAATTGATTAATACGTCTTGGCTCAGTTTCTTGATAAGTCACTCTTAGCGTCTTACGCTAAGACTCTAAAGATATATCTTCCGAAAGGTATTTGTTTTCCTACGTATGTTTCCCGAACAGTCTCTTAAGAGGTTGCTTAAGGGAGGCTCTTAAGTGCGACCTTAATTGGGGCTAGAACACCTGATTGGTTGATATCGATGACTCGAGAATTGATTATTCCCTCCATGCAGCAATTGCTTGACTGCCGCATGAGAGAAAGTGGTGTTCTTTATAAATATAATATTGCAGGAATGCTTCAAAATATTGCAGTAATCAGAACTTGGGAGAACCTAAAAATAAAATACAACGTTAACAACTTGAATCATCTAATCGTAAATATGATTTTCGCCGACTGACTGCACGAAGCAGTCTCCCAACCATTTTATTTTTATTTGTTCTATAAAACACCTGCTTGCACCAATATGTGTGCATGTCATTGATATCGAGACGAACAATGGCACAACAGCCGAAAGAAAAGTTGCCCTACTGTTTAAACATAAGAAAATATCCGATGTGCTTAAGTATTGACAATTAAGCACTATTCCATGGCGCGTGTTGTGGAAAATACATTAGACTAACATGTAAATGAACCTGCAGTGTCGAATCTTAACGAAATACGTCGTAACGAAATACCTAATGAACCAAAGTTTTGATATCGGCCTAGTGTGACTTTGGCACATTTGCAGAGGTGTGTGCATTCCAACGGCGAAGAAAATTGGGGTAACGCGTGTCCACCCCAACATCGACAGAACCCCCCCCCCAATTAATAAATACATAATTAACGCCGTGATCCTTATCTTTCATTATAAATCCGCGTAACTGAGGCCGATTCACTGCGCAAGGACGAAACCTAACGAAGACTGCAGTCATATATCAGACAAAATTATTTTATGATATGGATCAGTTATTTTTTAATTAGATATTTGGTTATGAATCTGTACCCTTAGCGATTGTAGTCTTATTTTAAATGAGCAGTATGAGCCGACAATATAAGAGCCAAGTAAGAGGCTGAGACCAACCTTAAGAAAGAGTATCTTACGGAAGATATACTTAACTAAGAATATTTCAGGAAACACCTTGGAGCGTTAACAGACACCTTAAGGTAGAACTTACAGTACGAAGGACGTAGCGTTAAGAAGGTTTGGAGAAACCAGTCCCTGATCATTTAACAGTTGCTTCACAGAGACCTATAGGAGGGACATAATTGTGTCTTCTGGGTAACGTCCTCAATGCGAAAGAGGAACCTATAATTATTGGAAGTTAGCAGTTGGAAGCTATTTTAAAAACATAGACTACAACCAGAAAGAAAATGGAACGAACTCTCTTTCAGCACCAGAAATGGACTACATCCTGAAGCTGCATGACTGTAGTCCAAACCGCCGGTTCACCAAGCATTTTACCTGTACCCTCTGGGATTAACTTTGGAATTTAAGATTATGCGAGTAAAATTCTAGCAAGATCCGTATATAGAAGTAATGCTATTAATGGAGGGAAAAGGGTTCTGTGCCTTTAAAGGATGGCTCAGTTAATCTGGCTTATTCTCACAGCTCTGATGCCAGAGTGAGCCGCCCTCTCAGACCCCCGCCCGGTGGGCCAGTGCTCAGCGCTGCAGGGCGGATGCCCTTTCTGAGTGTACACCTCACTCTGTGCTTCCCAAGATAACTTTCAGGCTAACTATAACTGTGTTTAGAGAGGAGGGGAGTGCCAGAAACCCCCCACTCAGATTCTCCTGTTCCTAAACAATTTATGCATAACACAACATCCCGTATAAGATTACCACATAATATTAAGGACTATAGAAACAACAGCAATTATGCCTGTATCTTGTGTACACTATTTTAATTAGTCTCTTAAATCAGACAGAGGAACATGCAAGCAAAATGCTAAAAATCCAAAATTAATGATAAATGACGATTCCTTCACACCGGCCTTCTGGGAAAAACCTGTAATGTTCTGTGATTCTGAGAAGGAATGTGTCCCAAAATAAAAATGCTACCTGAATGTCACTATTTACTAATCATTAAGGTCCTACTGTTCTCTGCTATTTCAAACACTATAGTGGAGAATGCGTGAAAGAGTCAACACTTAAGGTATACTGGGTAATTGCATAACTGTTGTGATCTTTGTTTTCATGTAATGTTACAGCATATTAGAACAATACCTAAAACTTACAATGTATTAAATCCCGTGAAATTTATATTTGAAGAAGCTCTCCTTAGTGTCAAGTGTCACCATTTTAACCGCTAAACTATCGTATAAGCAGCAGTTTTATGACTATAAAACAACGTTAATCTGGGTGTGCACAATACCAATCGTGACGTGATGGGAAACTTAAATGAGGATACATCAGTAATACTACGGTATAGGGGGGTGGGGGCTACAGTGCATTAATTTATCCGCTTGCCGAAAACAAACACACATGCGAAATAGATTATGATATCTCCAGTTTCCTAAACAAACAACAACAACAACATGAAAAACATCAAATAATCTCTCACTAACGCTACAAGGTCAAACTAAAGCAAATCAGTAACGTTTTAATCGACCGCGCCCGTAAGCGAAACGACACGGAAATCCTTTTGGGCGTCGGATGCCGCTTTTAACAGTAAAATATAATACGATTACATAGTAACAGTAACATGTTCCTGTTATTTTATAATTTGCACCTGAAGGGCTCCAGTTTATATTAATGGACGCGATGACAAACTGCCGGGTATTTAAGGAATACACGATAATAAAAAAATTATTTCGCGCAAACGTGCTTTCAACATACAATGTATCAGATCAGGATAAAAGTGCAACAGAATACCTCCAATCTTTGGTGCGATGTGAATTTACATTTATAACCCTCCCCATTCTCAGATACGCTTTACGCAGTTTTCCCCGCTACCCGCGGCCGGAGCGCCCCACACTGCGCAAACGGCGTACGCTTCCTACCGGCAACTTTTACACTATCGGGTTTTAAAAATACAGGCATACACCTGCAGGGTTTCCCCTGCAATCCGTTACAACATTTAGTTAACATGCGAATTTAAAAAAGGATATGACTTAACTCTTGACTTTTCCGAAGGTGCCGACTCCGAGCGTGTCTCCCAGGATGTAGTGCCCTATTTTGACCCTACCTTCGTATTTCTGCTTCTCAGCCATTTTAGCGTTTGGGACAGCCCGGCGCGGCTTTACCCAGAGTGCCCGGGGAGGCGGGTCCGAGTGCGGCGCGGCGCGGTGCGGCGTTTGTCTCACACCCGTAAATGCTCCTGTCCGTTTGCTGCTCCCGGTCCTGGCATCTTTACGTTCTCTCGCCACATTTCTCCGTGTCATGCATCATTTCGTATACACGATGTAGTAATGGGTCGCCACACATTCTTGCACTATGGTGCGGCTGTGTTATGAAAGGCGCTATATAAAAATAAATTTAACTTAGTACTTCTGCTTGTACTGATGATCAATCAGCGCACAATTTAATACCGCACTGATTTTTAATATGTTTGTTAATATGCATGAGCTGGACTCAACAGAAGTGCTTTGATAAAATATTATATAGGATTAATCAATGCCGCGCCTTACACACACGACCTCGAGTCTGTTTCCATTTTTATTTAATTTTCTCTGACCCGGTCCTCAACTGGACCCCCCCACAATTCTTACGTTCCTTGATAAAGAAACAGCACTTCTCACATGATCACAGGACGCGTGTGTCAGTCTGTTTGGAGAAACCTGCTATCTGATATCGATGCACTCCCAGCATCACTAATGCATGGAGCTCGTGGCGGGTGACTTCACGCGTATTTCGTTTCCATGCAGTTTCCCGATATTCCGGTGCTACGTGGGTATTCATGTGCAATAATTATGTACCCATCAATCTGTGATGGTAACTCGTATTTTACCGACTTTATGATAAATAGGCTATCGTGAGCAGATATTATAGCCCTATGTGTAATATTAGATTAAATTAACTTCTTGCCTTTTCTGTGGTCATATATAGGCTATTAGCTTGTATTGCATTTGATGATGATAATGATAACGACGACGATAATAATAATTATAATAATGCATGTTAATGTGCGTATAGTCCTATTTGCACTGTGACGGACTGGCATCCCAGTTAACCGCACCCCAGACACCTGCTATTAGCCACCCCCCCGACACACACGCACGCACGCACACTGAACAAAAAAAAAAAAAACATGATAGTCAAGGATAAGCGAATGTAAAGTAGATGAATATTAATAAACAGACACAGTGGTACCTCAAAACTCGAATTTAATCCGTTCAGAACTCCGGATCGAATCCTAAAAAGTTCGAGTTGTGATCGAATTTTCCCCATATGAATAATGGAAAACCAATTAATTGGTTCCGTGCGCCAAAAATTACACCTAAATATGTTTTTTTTTTAGCATTTAAACACAAAATGAACCGGATAAAACAAGAAGAGCATATACTGTACTAAACACACCTAAGCACATTTATCAAAACAGTAATTTGTAAAGTAAGAAAAATGTATCCAAACAATATGTCCTGCCACGATCGTCCGCTCCTTCCATGTGCCACGCCCCCTCGTTAACCCCGAGTGGAATCCCCTGAGTTGTTTCTGGTTGTTGTCATTATAGTCCTCTGTATTTCGCCCACGTTTCAGTTTGTTTCCCCAGTCTTGTCATTGTATTGTCCGTCTGCGTTTTGCCTGCCTTACGTGTAATTAAACCCCGTATTCCCCGATACCCTGACGTCTGCGCCTTTGTGTCTGTTCCGTCCTGCTCGGCACAACAATATTATTATAATTAAACGTATTAATGGTTTATTATTAATATTAAAATAATGAATAAGAAATCTTCATTTTTAAATGTTTTTTATTATATAATAATAATTACTGTTACTGTCTATCATTGTGTAAATGTATTTTTTACTGTCTAAATATATGTATTCAGTTAGTGTAAACATGCAGGATGCTATCACAGCGAACGCGAGGCTGAGACTGAAGCATTACCCTTTGTTTCCGCTGAGAGACGCGCAGCGTGACTCATTTCCCCGCGCGTACAAGTTACCTTATGTCGGCGTTCACAGTTTGACTTCTGAGATTCAGATCGAGCTCTAGGTAATTTTTTTTATCGAACTGGTTGGTTCGACTTTTAAGAAATTCGAGTTCTAATGAGTTCGAGAACTGAGATACCACTGTTTATAGATGACATATCCATTCGAGACGCTTGTAATTCATATTTTTGAACACCAGATGGCAGAAAGTGCGTAGCACTACGTATTCAAGGGAGACGTTTCATTTTCACAGTATATTCACTAGGGGTGTGTAATCTTATCCGCAAAGGGCCGGTGTGTATGCAGGTTTTTGGGATAACCTGTAGGTCAGCTGTCCAAACCCAGGTGTGAGGACTCTTCTGGCAATCTATCCTCTAATTAGTAATGTAATTAGGTAGTTGCAGCGAAAACCCGCATACACAACGGCCCTTTGCGGATAAGATTGCACACCCCTGATATATACCATTCAACACTTAGTTGCTTAACAAATGTCAGAATTTTTTAATATTTTCTAAACGTGCTGTTTCATATTAATTTCAAATGTATACCTATATACTACAAAAACTGTAAAACTGTTTTTATAAATTAAACCCTAGAAAAATTTCCTTTAGGACAATACAAGATTCTGATTCCATGCAGTTAAACCAAATGGCATACAACCTATTATTATTATTATTATTATTATTATTACTATTATTATTATTATTATTCCAAGGCGCAGGGGCGCCGTAAGGGGGAGGAAAGCTAGGACGATTCCAAGGGCCCCTGAGTGACAGGGGCCCTAAAAAATTAGGAAAATAACTGGATTGGTTTGGACTGGGGGGCCTAATATGATATGCTTTCATGGGGCCCAAAATCTCTAGCAACACCCCTGCCTAGGCGACCAGCATAAGCGGTTGGAAAATGGATGGATTAATGGATGCCATGTTTCAGACAAACATTATCCCACACCTTTAAAAGGACTTATTATCAACATTCATATTTCTACAATTGTTACTGAAGGCACCTACGTAACATCGGAAGGTATTTTAGCCTAATATATTTAATAGTAATTTTAATATCAGTAAAGGTCTACGATATGAAGGTGACTCCTATCCTACTCCTATCATACGTTTTTTTTCCCATTTGTTTATTTATTTACTTTATGTATTTGTACGATTGTTTATCAGTGAAGCTGAGCTGTAATTTCAGCCACGTGGGGGCATGTGTACATTTTTCCTCAACCAACTGTTGCCTTAGTTTTCTTCTTTTTTTTTTACCCAACGCGACCACATGGAGTACCAAAGATGCCCTTTCATATACCGCTCCAGTGGAGGTTTGGGGATAAAAACCTTCGGGAAGGGGGCTGAGCTTCTTACACTACTCTGGGGAGGAGGAGGAGAAGAAGAAGAAGGAGGAGGTTTTCCTTAAACGGGAGCTGATCGCCAGGCACGGAAGACTATGCATTAGGTTCGGATCTTGAACACAGCAGGACTGCACTGAATTTCCATTTATTACATAAAAACACAGATATATTTATATATATTTCTTTGTTTGTTTCAAGTTTTCAAGCGAATTTGGAGAATCGAAGTTACCGGTTATAGTTCGTGTCTGACCTGCAGATAAATAGACTGCTGCAGTGCAAATCAAAGCGATCGCATCGGCTGGTGCGAACTTTGTAAAAGTTTTGCTTTCATCAGTATTGCATGGTCCCCTCCCACCGAATGCAAAACGTTTCTCGGAACTTAATGTTTTTTAATGATTCATCTATTTTGCTTTGGATTTTAACCCAAAAACGGAAGACAGTTGTCAATGCAAAAGTACGTATATGAGAAGGCAATGGCACCAGAGAGCAGGAACGGAGGAAACGCAACGTTAAATAATAGCAACGGCATGGACAGTTGCAAAAGGAAACTTCTCATTATCTTAGATGTCTTCTGTTTGCTTTTAGGTGAGTGCTTTTACGACTTTATTTTCAACTGTTGTAAATTACACGACTGTGCCAGTGCCGTTTATCAACTAGGAATATAGCGCAGTGAGGGATGTAACTGGGACTATTGACGTGTAATGCGAAGTGTTAATGATCACTTTTATTTAAATAAAGCCGATGTCTTATTACAGTTTAAAGAGATTATTCAAGGAATGTTGAGATGCGATTAAATGCCAGGCATCTACAGTCGGTCATTAGGAAATCAATCACATAGCTAAATTAGATTTGATCAAGGGTTGGCCAAGATAAAGTACACTTAATTTCTTGCAACACATCTGGGATCATTTTAAAACTCATTAATTAAATGTTTAGGCAATGTCTGCTCCTCAGTTATTTTGAATTATGCATGCGTGAATGTGCAGAAGCCTAACAATCAACAATTTGTAGGGTACAGGGAACACTGAATTATATGTCATGTGTCTCATTCAAATGCGAGGACTAAGAAGATCCAACTTAATGACAAGTGGACTGTTTGTAATGCCACGGGTCAAACGTGACGTATAATGGTGCTGAAACGTTTTAAATTTCAACAGATTGTGCCTGGAAAATAAATGTTTGGGAAATTTGTATAGAAATGCGAATGGTTTAGTGGTCGCTTTCTCTGTACGTTTCTCGTGGTAAACACGGTGAATTGAAAGGACACCCATACGCTTCATGACGCCTTCAGAACCACTTTCGCTCCATGAGACTGGTGGCTCTTCAGGTTTGGGATGCAGAGCATTAAGAAACTTGAGCCAACCTCACACATTCTCTATATAAGAGCTTCCTGCCAATGTAACCCCCCCACCCCCGGCTATCAAATGACCTTATTTTTTCCTTATGTCCTTATGTTTTTAATTAATGTGGATGGTGTGCTTACTAAATGTGTTTAACACGTAGGCCTATATAATTTTTAAATTACAAAATGAGTATATAAAAATATTTTTGAACACAATAAGAATATAGCTACATTCTGATCTATGTTTTAGCAGGGTTTGAGTGAAATGTAGACTTCATATGAAGTGGACAACTGGTAATTAGGAGAAGGCAGCAGGGCAACAGAGAGACATGTCCATTTACAGAGAAATCTGGGTTACTCGACATGAATCAAAAGAAGAGGAGAGATGCGTTTGTAACGGAGTGTCGGGGGCCCAGTTAAAACCCTGGGACGTGGGATGGTGTCCTTTATTATCGTGGTGTTTTGTTTATAGATCCGGCCAGAGCCGAGCCTAACCAGGTTTATGCGATCTGCAACAGGCTGTTTAACAGACAGACCCTAAGAGCTCCGGTGCAGATCGCTTCCACATCACCCTTCCCCGTCTGTTGTCTGTTTCTGAGATACCCTGATCCGGTATTGCTGGTCTGCGTGCCTGTGTCACTCCTCTTTATCAAAACAATGTCTCACAAATACTTTAAATCACACAGACCAATTTTTTTTTCTTTTTTTAAATGGCAAATAGGACTATACCGATTGGACAGCAATCGATTGAAATACAGTTGTCTTGTATGATGACATAATTGTGAAATTTGGTGAGTTGGTACCAACCACTTACCTATATTTGAAGTTTAATAATCTTCTTTTCTTCTGTGGCAATACACTAAAGCAAAATAAGTTGGGAAAAAAAGAGATCTTGTGCTATCTAAAAATAATGCCTAAGAAAGACTGACACAGAGTTGCTGTTAATGCATAATTGGACACAAACTGGAATGTGTATGAGGTTTGGACTGATCCCCACTACTGGAACATCCACTGGGCCACATGTTAGCGGTGGAGATACCAACTTCCTTTTCATAAAACCTTATAGGCTAACTGTGTCCCAATTCAGTGGCTGCAGCTTTCTAAGGCTGCATTTGAAGACTGAATGTGTGACAGCAGCGCGACAAGGCTGTCCTGTTTTGAAGACCTAGACTGCAAGGCTGCAAAGGATCTGTTGGTATCAGCGATATAGACAAAAGTGTATATCAGTTATCAAGCAAATTTTTTGATGCACACGTGCAAAAAGGTATTCATCAATGCATTTAATGTAACTGAGTTACCAAAAATAATTCCATCTGCTTATTTTTAACTCCACAACTTTTGTCTTTTCTTCCCAGTCCATCCGCATAGTCAGCAAGCTATTATTGTAAGAGACTCCTCAGTAGTTTGTGTTCAAACAAAAAGTACCTTGTCTGGAGTAGGGACTTAAAAAAGGGGTTCTGGAACTACCTCTGATGAGCTTTAATCAGGCCAAGTTCCTTTCGTGGAAACACAACAAAAGTTCCTGGTTCCTGAAAAAAGGTTGTGGTTCCTGAAAGAAGTTCCTGTGGTGTGAAAGTGCCCAACAATGCACTGGGGTCAGTATAACCATCAGAAACCTAATAAAATCTTCAGATTATGTAATGTGTGAAGACCTACTGTCAGCCATTAATATATATTTTTAACCTTCATAGAGAAATGTGTAATTATCAAATGTATTGTCCTTTGTACGGAAAGCATCTTACAATCTTTCACTTTTCATATCACATTTGAACTGCTTTCTATTCTCCTGTAACATGTTAACGCCGCACACCTGCCTTAAAGACGGCCCACTCTCTGCCTGGACCCTTTCTGCATTTTTCACGCCGCTATTTACCTTTTGAACTCTTTTGACTTGGCCCGTTCTAAAAATATTTTTAAGAATTTCCCGCATTCTTCACTGGCGACCAAGCAGAGGTCTCTCTTGAAGTGACATCTGGTATTATTTTGGAGGTGAGTATGTTTGCCTAAATCCATGAACGGGTGGCCAGAGGCACAGCGGCTCAGCTGAGTTAGGTGTGGCCCACTTCCCTCTGAAATGAAATCCTTTTTTTTTTCCCCAGCCGTTGCCATCGACCACCGTCGTGGTTACATAGTAATTGGGAGAGAAACCTCGGCCTATCACCTTGCATATTATTACATGGACTTTCAGAGCTTTAGCAGCTGAGCAGGCTGTTGGCTGACAGTTAAACCCTACAGACAGCATTTATCAGGGATTTGATGGAGGAATCTCTAATGCTCTGTCTGGGGAATTTGGTGAATATTTTTTTGGTCCGATCATAAATTTCTCTCTTCGGTCTAGGCCAAATAGACTCAGACATTCAGTGTTAAGCATTCATTCTGCCATAGTTGAGCTTAGTTGCTACAGATTAATCAGATTAAGTTCCCTTGGTAAGTGGGTGGTTGTGACGTATTATAAGTAGTGTTTTAAATTTCGCTGTGTCATAATAGGAAAGGCTTGATAATCACTGCAAAAGCAGCATCATTGTTATGTTTAGGGTCACACACCTTAATCGAGGTCACCTGGCAACAGACAGGAAGCTGGTGTATAGTGTGTGATGGAGAAGGTTCTCGCCCGCATGCCTGTGTGGCTGAGGGCAGATGTCGGGGCAGCTTGCAGTGGGCAGTGCAATAGACAGAGAGATGGATGGAGGAGAGCAGACTTCCGTGGGAAATGAGGCAGTGTCTGCGTGTGGTGACCAGCCGCCCTCGACTCCAAACCGCTCCGGTGTGGTGGCCGGTCCTGTCTGCCTCGCGTAAGGGCCTCGTTCCCTTTACAACGTCGCGCGGTTTCTGAGGCCGCTCACAATATCACCAAATTATACAGCAGTGAGATTTAAAGGGCATGAAGGCTTGTGCAAGCCGGCGATTAAGGCAGCGTCTCACGGCCCCTAATGGGGAGGCTGTGAACGTCTCTTGTCCCCTGTGCCGGGCGACTAAGCCAGCGTCTGTGTGATGGGAATGACGATTAGGAGGTGTCGGGACCAGGGGGCGTTCCTGGGGGGTCACTCCACTGGTGTGGGGGTGCCTTTTCTGGGAATTGCGTCATTGACTGGGGGCGGTTCTGTTTACATTCATAGGCAGCCCTGCAGCCCCACTGCTCTTTATGTAATTAAGCTGCAAAAAAGTACAGTTGAGGAAAACAGTAAGTAAATAAAGCATTTTATTGTGTAACATCTGGATCGGCATTTTCTTGAAACTCAGACCAGAAGCTTTTGATGGATAAACACTGTGGTCTATGTTACCACCATAAAATCTTATGTTTATGACTCTACAAATAAAATGAACTATATATTAATATGTTACTTTTTCTATACAAAACATATAGTTTATTGTTGAGCTTTTACAGGAAAAAGTCTTGAACTTTTGAATGCGGTGTAATACCATGTTATACCTCAGAAAAACGCTGTTTTGTTAATGCGCTGTGGTGCTACAGCCACAGGACACGCCGCAGTTGTGCGTCGTTAAGATGAATTGTGCTGGTATTTTGTGTCTTTTGCTTTTGGAAAACCTTAACAGGATGGCAAGTGAAATATGATATTCCTCCTGCAAAGGGTTTAACACACAAAATGTTAACTGTTCCGTGAAAGTTTTTATTTTCCTGATAAGAGACTTAAGTTTTCCCCGAAAGTCCTTGCTGAGAAGAGACAAGGATGAGCCTATATTTGGGGCTTTCTGGACGTCCTCTCATGAAGGATGACTAAGAACATGGAGAGCACATGAGACGTGATGCAGATGGAGAATAACTCACAGCCTTGGGTATGTCCATAATTACGCCAGTAGAAAAGACAGAAATTAACTTGCACTGTAATTATTAATAAGTAAGTGTGGTAAACTGCCGCTTTTGCTGTGGCATGTTCAGCTCTCAGCGCTACGTGAGGCACTGGAGCGCCCTCTGCTGTTATCCCTTTCTTCCCCCTTCACTTGACTCAGCACCCAACTGGATCTCTGTCCCGGCCCCTGCTGCTGCGGCTCCCTTCCTGTCAACAATAGATGCCCCCCGAGAGCACGAGAGAAAAGCTCTGCCTGTATGTGAACAAAGCCGCCTTTGGATGGACCACAGGCCGACGGGCACGAATGTGTCAGAGCTGCCCGGGGGGAGGGGGACTTGGGGGTGCTGCACTGGTGTCCCTTTGTCAGGACCTGCGAGGAGCCCCTATCAGGCCAAACGGAGCAGGCGTACTCCGATCTGCCTTGCCGTCACTGT